AAGAGAGAGAGAGAGAGAGAGAAAAAAACCTGAACAAACAACAGAAACAGCAAAAACAAAGCTGCAAAACTCCACAGCAAACAATGCGATAAAATTCAATTACAACAAATTTTTAATTAACTTTTTGCAATCAAAACACAAAACAAAAACCTCGAACACCGAACACCGAACACCGAATCCCGAAACCCTAACCCCTAACCGAACCCCAAATGAGAAGACAACAAATGCAAATTCAAATTCAAATGCAACCACAAATCTAAATCAAACAAAAAACTAAAATAAATAAATAAATAATATCTATTCGTATGTACATATGTATGTATATAATAATATATGAATAGAAATCCAAATCCAACTCCAAATCGGAATCGGATGCCAAATTAAGCGAATAATAATAAATAATCCACAAGTCATTAAGTGGCAGCCATGTGGGCGCTGGGGTACATAGTATGTATGTTAGAGCGCAGATGATGCCAGATCCATGCAAGAAATCAATTATTAATTAAAGCGGAATTTGTTTTCATTTAGAAATAAATATTTCTAGAATTATTTTGTGTGCAATGACACTGCCACGTAGTGCCAGAGCTTGTCTCTCTTTCCATCTCTCTCACGGCGTAGCTTATGCACACAAAGAGTCGTGTGGATAAAGAATATAGAGCATGCATAATGGATGGGAATGAACTGAAAAGAGTGACCAAAATGGCACATAATAGCAGATGATGATGGTATAGGCCAAGGCCTTAATTGGATAATGGAGCCATGCCGAATGGCAGGGAACGAGTGGGAGTGGGAGTGGGAGTAGCAGTAGGAGTAGGTGTAGCAGTACTGGTTACAGAGGGCAATCTACCTCAACCGATTCCCAATTGAGTAACCATTAACCTGAGAGCAAACCAATGGGGGGTGACAACACACCACTCGGAACCTCTTGCCCGCCCCTTCCCACCACTTCCCACACTCCAAAATGAATGAAACTACTATTGAAACCTATCAAGATCTCCCTTCTGCCACCACACACAGCGAAACAGAGAGAGCAGGAGAGGGAGAGGTAGAGGCAGAGCGAGAGCGAGGAGAACTTTTGTGAGAATGCTACATTCGCGGCGAAAGTTTTGTGCAGTGCGAGGCGAACGACACCTAAACCCCTAGCTAATGGCCAAAAGTAAACGACTTCATGGCTCGCATGGTGGCTGGGTGTGTTACCACCCCTCCTGCACTGTACCCCCTCCTGCAGCACCTGCTCTATCCTGCATTGTGGGGGAAATTGCATTCGTGGCGGGGAAATTGCATTTGCTGTTTCTGGTTTTCTGTGTTTCAGTTTTGTTTCGCATTGTTTGTCGCGCTTCCATTCAAAGTTGTAAAAGTTCTTTTCAAAGTGTCTGCCAAGGGGGAGGGGGTGGCACCTTCTTTCCCCTGCCGCCTGCTGCCTTTTCCAGTTGGAAACGCCATACAATTAAGCCAAAATGTGGCTGCTTTAAGCCGCCAGCAACTAGCAGGCGGGCTTCCGACCAATTAACTCCGCCAATTGGCGGTGGAAAGCGCCTATAATTAACAGCGGGAGTGGGAGTGGGAGTGGAAGCGAGAATCGATGAACGACGACGACTGGCAGTGGGTCGGACGCAAGCTTTGGCACGCACGACCCACCCAATGCGTAAGTTTTTCACCAGCCTTAGGACTTTTTCTACGCCCTTAATCCATTGCCAAAAACTTTTACCCCGCACTAGAACAAAACAACAACAACAAAATATTATCCGTTTGGCGGGCCTTTAATCCGTGTCCCACTAAAACTGATCGGGCAGGCAGTGTTCAGAGCCGATGGGTGCGCTAAAGACCTGCTCGTAGCGCTCCAGGGTCTCGAAGGAGTTGCGCTTCTCCCGCGCCAGCGGACGTATGCAGGTGGGGGCGGGCAGATGCTTCGCAGGCGGCAGATTGGGCCTGGGCGCACGCAGCAGTCGCCTGGAGAGACTCCCCAGGCTGAGACGCTGCTGCTCCTTCTCCTTCTCGCGCAGCATCTCCCGGTGCAGCTGCTCGGCGAGATCGTAGGCCGCCATGTCATCCACCAGCATGCTACGCCGATGGCTGTTCCCCAGGCCGTTCAGTGTCTCGGCGGGCATTGTCTCCGGCTCTGTCTCCGTCTCCGTCTGCGGCTTGATGCAGGCGAACAAGTCGACCAAATTGGTGCACATTCTGAGGCTTCACTGACGATGGCAGCACACGATGCTGCTCCGCCGTGTGCCGTCCAAGTTTTATAGCGACCGCTGGCCAGCTATCGACAGCTGACTCAGCGACGCTCCTATGCAAAGCAGCTGTGTCCGAGCCAGGCACTGAGCCAGCCACTGCGCCAGCCACTGCTCCTCCAGCGATTGCAGAACATTTGAACTCCAGTGTAGTCCATGGAATATCTATTCGAGATATTGGCAGCAGGTGGGAGACATTCTGCAGGAAATCTCTGTGGCCTGAAGTTCTGGAAGAGCAGAACGAAATTTAGCTTACACTAAGCACAGTTCCTGGGCAGACGTTTATTAATCATTTACTGTATGGTGTAGGCTTACGGCAGGAATATTTCTTATTCATATTAATTAATAATGTAATGGCGAGTTCTCTACTCGTTTGGAGAGCCGAGAAATAATGCTTGGGGGAATGGTATATGTGCTGGAATATGTAAGCAATACCTATCCATGTTGATTAAGAAAATACACCACAGTTAGAGGAATCCTCCTCCATGGAAGCTAACCAAAAGCAAAGCGACACTCATGCCAGGGTAATCCCACTAAAAATAAAGAAAATAAAACATGATTATCCGTGGGAATATATGTAAGTATGATGGCGTGGATTAGCTATTCCCTGTGTTCTTCGGCAGCGTCCACTGCTAATGGCAAAAGGCACTCAAAGGTTAAGGCAGGGCAGCCAGCCATCCCTTCCGACACTTCCGCTTCCGCTCTCCCCTTGCTATGCAGCGCGAAGGAGAGCTCCTTCATATTTCGCACAACAATTTGACAGCCATCAATCAATGGAGTACCCCCGGCTGCTGCTCCATCCTTCTCGCCGTTGAGTGGCCACTTGAATGGCATAAAAAGCGGAAATTAATGCACTTAAGGCATTCAAAATCGAATCCTTGAGCAGCAGACGGCAGGGGCGGGGTGACGGGGGAACGGAACTCCCCTCCTTTTGTGTGCCTTGCAGGGGAATCAAGTGGCAGCTCTCTATCCATCTATCCATCTGGCTTTTTGCTTTGGGGCGCCACTTGGCTGATTAATTGGCATGGAAACGCCACATCCACATTCCCATCCGCCCTCAAGCGATGGTGATGGTGATCCTTGGAGGGCGCGTGCCTCCTTTCGCGGGCCTCCTGTTAATGGGCCCGAGAGCCATTGAGCGCTTAAAAGCGCAGGATTAGCGTATCCTTCGGGGTGCGCGGGGGCAGAGCATGGCAGCTGCTTATGATGATTGGCAAGTGCTGTCGGGCAGGTGTTTTCGCCCCAGCCCCCCGCACCATGAAATTCCATGCATTCGTTGTCTCGGCGATCCGCGCATTATCCTTATTAGCCGCAAATTGTGTCCCATTTCGCCCCACCCCCATCCATGATTGAGTCCCTTGATTGATGAATGTCCAGAATGGGGGCTGGGTGAGGTGCACAGCTGTTCATGGGCTTTGCTGAATTGAATGGGTGGGAAGTGGGCAGTAGAAATACTTTTTAACAAGCAAAATCCTGAAAAGGGACAACAGGCGCCATCTGTGCTGCTCTCAATGCGTATTCAACACGGGAAAATCGGTAAAATACTGGGAAATTCATGCTATCGTTGGTGTGTGTCACAGCTCATAATAAGTGGATGGTAGTTTGTTGGTTGGTGTCTTGGCTGAGCTTGTGGATTGCATGTAGAGAGAGAGGATACAATCCTCCAGCTACACTTTCCCATTACGATTTTTAAGAATATAAAAAAAATATTAAAAATAAAAAATCTAATAAATAAAATGAAAATAAAAAAAAAAGCAGCAAGTAGGTTTATAGTGTTTGTTCCGCAGTGGGGACTCAACCGAAAAGGGATTGCACAGGTCAAAAAATTGTATGAGCGCTTTGGATATAATAAAAATACGCATATAAAAGAGAATTTTCCAGAGAAGCACTTAAAGTTGAAAATTGTTTCAGTGTAAAGCAATGTATTGAGCTCTTATTCGCTTATTCATTTAGCCAGCTGAAATAGGCAAAGGCCCCACTGTGCGAAATGCATGCATATGCATGCACAGACGAAGCCGTTGGGCAGCGGGCTCGCGCTCAGAGACGAAGCAAAGCCGAAAAGAGAATTGAAAGCCCGCGCGCTTCCTCTGTCTGTAAGGCGTAGCGATAAGCTCAGCCATAGAACCGGTTTTTCGTCGCTCAAGCAGCATCTTGTTATTGTATAGTCTTTGATACAAGAGAGCGGCTGGCTCTAGAGCGCTCTCTCTCTCCCTCTGTCTGGTTTTGGAACAGTTGTGGCCTGGAGCCAGCTCTAGAGACAACCTGAACAAAATGAGTGCCAAAATTTCGTACGCATCTTATTGTTATCTTTTCTTTGGTTTAACTGTGTGGACAGCATTTCCGCATCAATGGATGGTACGTGCTGAATGGGTTATGTCTTGGCTGAGTACAGTGGATGTTTGTATCTTTCAGTACTTAATACGTAGATTGCATGTAGTAAGAATGTATTTGAAGCGTAGCAACCATGTAGAATTCACTTTAAAAGGGGATTGCCCTGCATTTCGCGGGGTTCTAACTATCCGAATGTCATATCTAAAGTATCAGGATAGATAAGGAGAAATTTCTAACCGTGTATATGGCTCATAAGTGCCTCTAAAAATACCCATATACGCCGTTAAACATTCTCTAATCTCTGCTGCAGCATGGGGATCCGCATGTTGCGGGTTATTTTCACATGATTTCCGATGTTTAAGCACTCAGCCCCCCCTTCCTGCCATTCCTGCTATCCACTACAATGAGATTTAACCAACTTTCTCCTCATTTTTGCAGTTAACGGAGCTGGAGCAGCGCGTCATCGAAGCGGAAGAACGCGCCGAGGAAGCTGAAGATAAGGTAAGCCATTAAATGACTGACAGTACAGCGCCGCACCCCCCTGCCACTAGTGGGTATGGTGGGGTGGGGGGGCTGGAAAATTAAAACAGGGATAACAGACATTACGGGAGAGTAGAGCGAGTCCTCGACTCAGTCGAGTCGTCTGCATCATTAGAAGGCAGTTTAAAGCGTTTTTCCAGCATTACCATGACAATGCCTGATCTGATGGGGAACGAGGGGAATGATGGTTGTGTTTGGGGTGGGGTTTATTTAAAGCGAGTGATGCGATGCGGTGGCTGCTTTCTGGCAGCTGCGGCCAAAAACATTTGCCATTTGCCGGACCCCCCTACCCAGACGAAGGCCGAAACAAGGCGAAAAGTTGTCACCCGCAGAGAAAGAGACGACAGAGAGAGGGGGGCAGACAGACAAGGAGGTGGTATGGGGGGTACACAAAACATAAATCGACTTCCGTTCCGGGAATCGCCCACACGCACATTAATGCAACAACGCGTAGCGCCACAGCCTCCAGTCCCCCAGCCTGCAGACTCCAGACCCCGTTTGGAGCATGGAGTTCGTGCGGTTGCAAGCGAAACGGAGCTTTAGTCCTCTACTGCCTACTGCCTCCTGCCCTTTGCCTTACAGGAGCAGGAGCAACAGCAGCAGCAGACCAGCAGAAAACCACCCCCGAAAATGGGGGACCAAGGACACATGTAGCCTGCTCCTCCTCCAGCCAACAAACAGCCTCCATCCTACAGACCGACCATTCTCTATGGCAATATCAAATGCGCATTGTTTGCATTAACAAGTCCCCGGAGGCTTTTGGCTTTTACCTAACGCGCAACACCCCGAAAAACAAGCGAAATGCAAATATTTGCACCCCCGCACAACACACACACACACACAGAGAGAGAGAAAATCCCTGAAGAGTGGGTTTATCTCTGGCAAAATGGGACTAATACTCGATCCCTGGGCTTGAGACTGGGCTTTTCATTTGCCGCCGCGCGTGTTGTTCAAAGACCAAACAGACCTAACCAAACCAAAACCCAACAGATCCAGGAGTCCCAGTCGTAGTCTGCACTCCCACACGGCCAACCACTGTGACAAATTGAATTCTTGTTACTTTGTTTGCGCCGAGATTAGATTCCTGTGCAAACACGTGCCCCTGGATAACGCTGCAGCCAACCCCCAAAGGCAGGCAACAGGGACCAAGGCTAAGACTCCACCCAGTTGCTGTGGTCCTGGTCCTGGTCCTGCGCAACCCTTCCGACGGCTGACTGCCCTTTCAACGGTTCCGTTAACAGCTCCTCATTACTTATGCTTCAATTAGTCCTAAAAGGGCTTTAAAATTGGTTAGCCTCATTAGAACTATTACGAGTGGCTGCCAGTCGCTGGCAAAGGGGTTTACAGGGTGCAAAGATCATTCTTTCTTGGCATATTTCGAGTACTTACTTTCTGGCTGGTGCCGATGGAAAATTAAATTAGGGATTAGGGATTGTTCCGTTCCCAGCTAACTAAACTCAGGCATTAGCTGCTAATTTTATGTGTGCAACAAACTAAAGACGCGGCTGTGGGTCGCCTGTGGGAATTGGTGGTGCAAAGATGATTCGATTCCTTCTCTGCGTTCTTCTAAGAAATATTTCAGAATAAAAACCACTTCTTGGGTTTCCCATTGTTCCTCTGGTTTATCTTTTAACAATTGGCCAAACCAATTAAACCTAGGGCTATCCTCTCGTAAACATAGTCTCTAATTTTAAATTATAATTATTCCTCGTTAAGGGTATTCTATTGCTACGATTTTAGGAGTCACGTTTTGGCGGTTTAAGTGCAGCTTTTAATCAAAACTCCAACTCCAATTTTAACTGATTATATCGAACTATTTCAAGTAAAACTTGACCCAATTGGTACGAGTACCGAGTCGTACTTTCACTCTTCATTAACTTAAAATCCGTAAATTTTTTACTGCTAAAATTCTTCATTGGGTCCCAATGGGAATGCAGCCGCGAACTCTTTTCTGGGTGCTACTTAATCTGACTCCAGTAAAGCAGTTCCATCCATCCATCCAGCCAGACAAGGTCAGAGGATGCCACATTATACACAGGCACTTAACCTACCCATAGAATCCACCTCCAGTGGGGGGGCAGGAGTGCTCTTCCGGGGTTGTGCTTCCCCAATTCGGGCGCAACTTGAATTTCCGGCTGCCGCCTGGCTGGCTTCCGGATATCGCATTAATTATGCATTAAAGAGGGAAAATAAATAAACATGAGAAGAGCACTCGATATGCATATGCCACAACGCGGCCAATTAAGGGCCATCCAAGCGGGGGAGTAAAGGGGTCTAGGGGCCAGGCGGAATGCCTTCAGACCTGGCTTTCAGGCGGCAGGCGAGGAAGAAGGTCGCACATGCCGCGTGGCTTAGTGTTGGAAAGCGCCAGAAGTAGTGCCAAAAGCAGAGCCAAAACAAAAACAACAACAAGAAGAGCAAGAGTCCAAGGCATGTTGCAGCCAAAGGGTGAGGTGAGGCTCACCTCCCATGCGAAAGTATTTCACAGCTGAAATGCCTTACCCTGCATGGCATATACCCTTCGACAGCACCCACGAGGGTGGCAAAGCTTGACAGCTGAGAATGAGCGAGAGCGCGAAGTGGAAGAGAGAGCATGCTGATGCATCCCCTGCTGCAGGAGAAACTTTCGTTTCATTTTGGGTGAGACAGCTGTCGGTCGGTCGGAAAACAACCCCCCAAAAGGGAACAACAGAGGAAAAAAAAAGCAAAAGCCAAGCCAGCAGAGCGAAAAGGTGAATGGGAACCAGAGATATAAAGAGAGAGAGCGAGAGAGAGAGTGGCACAAAGAAGCAGCGTAACAAAAGGCAGAGCGCGTTAAAAACTGTGCAAAAGAAGACTTGTAGCTGCGCGAGGCTGTCCCCTCGGTTTTGTCTTTCGCTTTTTACGTTTCGATTTGCATTTGTTTAAACTTTAAACAAATTCCATTCGCCCCCTCCCCTTGGATACACCATTGCGCCGCGTGGAAAGCCGCGTGGAATCCCCTCGTTGGAGTGCCAGAGTTGCCAGCGCGGTGAAGTCATCATCCAACCATCCAATCATTTGCCCCAAAGGCCGAGGAACCGTGCAGCAGTGGCAGTGGAACGGTGTGGCACGGTGGAAAAAGGCGCGCGCGGTGTGTGGCCCACAACATAGTGCATAACGGCATAGCAGAGCAGAAGCAGTGCAAAAACCCAAGGAATAATCCACAATTAAAGGCCGATTGCAGTGCGAATAATATCTGTGGAGCGTGTGGCGGTGGGGGGCGGGTGTGTGTGTGTGTGTGTGTGCGTCCTGGCGATGACAGGACATATCGGTAAACGTAGTAAATTATAGGACACATTTCGGGCGGCCATTCACATCCAGCTTTCTCGCTCTCATTCTCATCCTCTGAAGAGAGCGAGTGCGGCCCACAGCAAGAGAGAGAGAGCAGCGCAGCGCAGTTGTGCAGCTTGCGAGAGTGATAGAGAGAGAGAGAGAGAGAGCGCAGCGCGCACATGTGTCAATGACAGCTGACTGGCGAAAGCAGCCGCAAAAGGGAGAAGAAACACACACGCCAAGAGGAAGAGAATCGGAATCACGATGGGGAGAAGGAGAAGGACAGACAAAATACAATAAAGGAAAAACTTGACCAAGAAATTCCCAGTGTTCCGAAAAAGTATTTAAGTATTATTTAAGACGTTGAAAAGCTAACGGAGCCGGGAGCAGCACACTAAAACAACGAACGAGAAGCAGCAGAAAAGAAACAGCGACACATATCAAAACAACAACAAGAACAACAACAACAAACAGCAGCCCAACAACAGCAACAACAAACGTCCATTTACAACATCAATGAAGGAGAACACAGTGAAACAAAAGAGAGAGTGAAAGAAGGAAGGAAGCAACGTAACTGGAGATCGATCCCACATACTCGTACATTGCCAGAGCATTGCCAGATCTCATTAGTTGTGGAGTGAAAGATCCATTTCCAGCATTGCCAGGCACCCATTGGAAGCAGTGCGAAAGGAAAGCAGTACGAAAGGAAAGCAGTACGAAAGGAAAGCAGTACGAAAGGAAGCATCGAAATCAGCGGAAAGGAAAGGGAAGCAAGACTGGAAGACGAACACTGAAGGAATTCCCAACTGCATATGCCGCCTGCACTTCCACCCTGCAGAAGCCAGCCCATCCATTCTTGTTATTAAATTTTAATAATTAGAGGAAAGTGTTCAGTGCAATGTGGCACTGCCATTGCCGCTTGGCCAAAAGCCGCCGCTGTTGCGTCTGCTGCCGCCACAAACAAAGAAAATACCAGCCACAACGAATGCAACAGCAACAGCAGTACCAAAAGCAGTACCAGAAGCAGTACCAGTAGCATTAGCATTAAAAGTACCCAGTAAAACCCATCAAAGGAGCTCCAAAATAATCAACGAACCAGAAGATACGCATACAAACTGTAGAACAAACTTATCAACGCAAACAACGAAATCCCCCGCTTGTATAAATGGATAACTATAGGAAGAAGGTAAGGCCATGATGTAACGAAAATTAAATATGATAAACTATGGATATAGTGCCCCCTTTTGCGGTCTAGACAGGTATATTTCTGTATTTGACAGGTAGAACTCTTCCAACGGGATTTCGACTATAAGTTGCCCGCGGCTTGGGCTCATTCGATCAAGATCATTGTTGGATGCTTCATAGCTCTACAGAATCATTGTTTTCATGGGAGGCAGATATAATCCACTTAAGGAGCTTTGCTAAACGAACAGAAAATTATATTATTAAATAGTAAATAGCAGCCCCGATATATTATTCGATTTAGCAGGAAATAATGCAGTTAGAGATCTTTCCCCAGCGTTCTTGGGTGACATTTTTGTGGTAATATCCTCTTTGAAATATACCTACCGAATCCATTGCAAAACTGTTCTATAAAAATCTCTCTTGAAATTTGAATTTATTTTGAAAACATATCTGAAATGCCACCTACGCACCCCCGCATCACA